TCCTTATCCAGGACTCCTGGAGGATAATAGCACGGCCACTGTCTCTGCCTTAAATAGATTATTGCGCTCTGAAGGAGTCGGGAATTGAGGTATTGATTTTCCGGGACGGCACACGCCCAGATGGGCGATCGGGAGGCTGGTCAGCATATTGACTGTAGCGCGTAGAGAGAGACCCTGCTGGGTAAAGCAAGTTCCGGAAACATGGGGAATCCGTCACCGACATTCCCAGGATTCAGCAGAACCCGTATTTCGAAATTCTTTCCAATATCAGTGGCAGCCTTTACCCATTCCGGGTATCTCTGCTGGGGCTGTGGTCTGCATGGGGGAGGTGTGCCTGGGTGCCAGGTCTCTGCTGGGGCTGTGGTCTGCATGGGGGAGGTGTGCCTGGGTGCCAGGTGCAGGTGCTTCTGAGTCAGAGGCTGAGATGCCAGCAGCCTGTGAACGAGGGAGGGGGAGGGTGGAGAGAGGGGGGTGCCATGTCAGGGCTGGGGCTGAGGATGGCGAGGCGTAGCACTCGGAATGCTCTGCCCCTCCCCCCCCACCCCCGAGAGCGGCGCTGCTGGTGCACGGGGCCCCTAAGCGGTGCCCTCCCACATAGAGTCACACACAATCACACGCCTCGCAGAGGTCTAATGTCATTCCTGGAATCCGTGGGTCCTGTGCCTCTGGGATGAAATATGAGTTTGTTGCATCGCATTTTTCCTGTTCCGTTCCTTAGCAACAGCCTGTTTTAATAAAGGTGCTGGATGGGAGGGCCTTAAAGGACCAGATGCTGTGTTCCGCAATTTCATGGACGCTGCCAGCCGCGGCGGTCAGTAGTGCCGCCTGCCGAAGTCCTGCTGCCTTCTTTCAGTGCCGTTCGCCTTTAATTTAGTTGCTGGTGATGGGATTAGTTCTGCATTTGCGTGGCAGGTGACTGCTCAGGTGCTGGTCCGTTTGTCCCCGCAGACACTGTCACAGCAGCTGAATTACCAGTGAAAAACAAGCTGTTTGTTTGTTTCCAATGAGCCCCTTGATTCTTGTCTCAGAAACGTTTTAAAATCCTCTCCTTTATATAATCAGGAAGAATCCGCTGAAATCAGTCATACTCGTGTTAATTTATGGAAATTTTTGTTGAGTTCATGCCATTTCTTTTGTACATGGATGATTTAATGTCCCCCAAACTGTCTCCTGTGAGGGGTGGTTGAGAGGCATTAATACACAGTGATCAGCATCATTAATACACTTTGATCAGCATCAGTAATACACAGTGATCAGCATCATTAATACACAGTGATCAGCATCATTAATACACAGTGATCAGCATCATTAATACACGGTGATCAGCATTTTCCCTTCTGTGATCACGGTGCAGTCAGTCAGTGACATGATATTGTTTCTTAGTTTATTTTTTATTTATTTAAAGAAAATATACCCAAGACTCAATCTGCTAATTACTGTACGATCGAGATTAGAATTAAAGATACACCTTCTGTTAATGGCATTTCTGAATAAGCTGGGCTTTTGGAAGGGATTAGGAAGTAAACAATGTTCTCTTTCTCAGTACGTGCTGGTGCTAATCCTAATGGACTCCCAGAGCTGTTGGAGGGGGGGGGGGGGTGTGGGAATCCAGACCTGTTGATCATCTGTAGGACAGTACGGCGGGTGGCTTTAGGGTGAACTCATTTTTAAACACAAGAAAGGTGTCTTCCTCTGTTCTGACTCTCTGGTGAGCAGGGCGATCTGAAATGATTAATTCTGCTGAGGCCATGACCCACAGTGTCACCTGGATGTCACCAGGGTGTCACAAGCTCTTCTTGGCTTGGAGCTGGGTGTGTGATTATTTGTGTAGAATGCTGGATGCTGGAGTGACGTGCACCTTATTTTTACACCACAGTATGCACATATGCTTCTGATATGAATGTCAATAACGTGTTTCACTGTAGCTGGTGTTGGCGTAGATGCTCGCTAGTATGATTCCGTTCTTGTATCCCAGAGGTGGCCAGCAGGGGGCGCCGTCAGCGAGGCACGGCGCTGAGCGCCTGCTATGTGGGCTGTCTGAGTCTCCGCCACGTCTGTACGAGAAGCGGCGTGAGGAGACTCAAGCAGCAAGCTGATGCCTGATTCTACAGATGGCTTCTTAACTTCGCCAGAAATCGCACATCTCGGCTCCTTGGGCCGCATCCATGTGGTGGATCCGGGTACAAGCGGCAGCGGGGGCTGGACGCCTTCCGGGGGGGGGGGGGCGCCACGCCTCACCACGCCACTCGCTGCATCCCTCTCTCCCAGCCAGCTAAGCACTAATTAATGAGGTCTAATTGGCCCGTTACAGACATCCTATCCACTGTGTGTCACATCTGTCAGCAGCCGGCGTTCAGGTGCGTCACTGCTGATTAACGCCACTCTGTTCACTTTATTCCATTTTCCTCGTTAGTGACACTGCTGCCTTTGTTTATCTTACTTTTTGGGATCTAATGACTGAGGCCTCTTTGATTAATTGGGAAAGTTTCTTAGGGAATGCTCAGTGGATGCATGTTAACATGATTTCAGTCACGCGGCACAGGCAAACTTCCCGAGTGTGACTGTAATCATGCTTTTTATTCTGCCTGCTGTTGAGATTTTCTCAGTCGAGAGTCTGCATTCTCTTCCTGAGTGACGGACACATGTCAGCGTCTACTGGGTGATGATCTTTCTGCTTTTAAAGGCCGTTTCTCCGTCAGAGGCTCTCATCACCCTAATAAGTACAGTTTGCCATAGTGAGCGTGAAGCTGAATATTTGTGTCCAGTGTGCAGAGATGCATCGTGGGAAATGTCACTGTGATGTGACCATGTTGGGATACTGCGATGGGAGGGGGGGGGGCTGTGGACCCGGAGGTCAGGTGTGCCGGGTCCGGTTGCTCCTGTGGTGCTCTTGGCGTTCCGCTGGGTTTCAGCTCTCTGTCGCCTGCAGTATCGGGGGTGTTTGTTTGCTCACTCGCTCACTGCTGCTGGTACCCTGGGTTCCTGTGCCCAGTCTTACCCACGCAAGCGGTGGGTTCAGCACCCGCACACGCAGCCATCCTCCCTGCCGGTGGAGTCCCTCCGGTGCCTTCTGTCTTTTTATAAATGCTCTAGGAGGTCAGCTTTGTGGCAGGTTCCCGATTTCGTTGGGGGGACGTGCTGTTCTCCTCGCCGCGGCTGTGTGGCGTGAGCTAATATCTGTGAGGATTTCACTCATGTCTGGAAGTACAGAAGCCAGTGTCCATTTCCAGGAGGTTCTAGGACTGTCTGCATTGATGGACATGGCTGTAATCCCAGCGGACCGGTGCAGACGGCCAGAGCTCTCTGGCAGGTGTGCAGTTTGCTCCTGTGAGGTAACAGGGTTTCCAGTTCCTGAACGTCCCTGCAGGGTTTAAATAGGGACCCACAGTCCCTTGCTGGGGGGTTAAAATGGCTGCACTGGGGCCACCTCTCAGCTGCAGTGTGTCTGCGGCCACTGGTGTAGAACCTGTGTGTGAGACCCCCCTTTCCACTGTGCTGAACTCTTTCAACATCATCCTGTACCAACAAAAAAAAAAACCTGCTGCATTGGGTTGCTGAAATATGAGTTAAATGTGCTTGAAATGGCAGCTGTTTTGCAGGCCCAGGGGTCACGGCAGACAGCTTAAGGTCAGGAACCTTTCCAACCTGACTGCAGAACAACAATATGGTCCTGCTGGGGTCTTACAGCGAGCTGATGGTCCCGAGGTGGGGGGGGGTCTCAGTCAGGGGCACGCGCGGGTGAACCGGCATTAATGCACAGTAATGAGAATAACACACCACAGCAGGAAATGTGATCTTTAATACCCTCTCTGCCTTAAAACAGGACACCGGAGCTGTTTTGGTCGTAGGAAGCATTCTCGAATGATATATTTTTAAAAACACGGCATAAACACTCTTGGGGTTTAAAATGGAACCGGAGAGAGTTTCCAGTGTGACACACGCTGCCGGGTGCTTGTGACACGAAGGTGTGCTGTTCTCTGTAAGTGCTCTTGGAGGGAGACCAGGCATGGCAGGTAAACACGCGTTGTTTACAGTGCCTCCGAGAGCAGCCCGATAACACGCCCTCCTGTGTGTCATTGTTATTAAAAATACTATAGGAGAACATCTCCGGCCAGAGCGATCCCAGCGGCTGCTGTCTGCACCCAGGGCCCCCCAACTCCCATCTGTGAACAGCTCTCATTTCCGACCCTGACCCTACATGCGCACGCACACGCGCACGCACACGCACACGCACACATACACACATTCGTATGGGCATAACCCTAATCTCAGCATGACGACCTTAACCCCTACCCAGCCATAACCTTAACCATAGGTAAGACTTCTATCTTTTATAGTTTTATGACTGCAGTCACAGATTTTTATAAAGTTGAGTTACCCCATTTGGGGACCAGAAAATGTCCCTACAACATCAAAATACAAGGTTTTTTTATCACATTGTAGGGACATTTGGGTTCTCAGTGTCGGTTCTGCCCATCAGACGGACATGGCAGAGCTAACGGGCAGACTTTCAGCTTCCATCTGGGGGTCTGTGCCGGACTCTGCCCTCGCGGTGTGAGACCGCAGTACTGAGCTCCGAAACATGGGGGGGAGGCAGCAGAGGGCCATACTCACCGTACTCACCATACTCACCCTGATGGTTGTTTCTCTGGGTAGTACAGTGCTGGTGATCAGGCTAGGCCCTCCCTATCCAAAAGTTTGCAGCTTTTCTTATTTTCTTGTTAAAAAAGGCATCGTCATTGGTTACTGTCCTACTGATCATTAGTACAGTGCTTTATCTGTACATTTAATTGCCGAGGGCATGTTTTTGTGACTTTATGGCACATTTTCAGCTTGAAATCTATGCTTTGTTGGTGTCTATTCTGTGATGTTTGATTGAACGGCTTAGATTTCAGTTTTAATACTCCATGGCACTACTGGCAAATAAAATTTTCTTTAGGATTTAGAGCCTCTGATTCTTGGTGAAATACATTTTGACCTTTGGACCGTCTGCCTTTCAGATCAGTGCACTGTGACAAGGTCGTATCTCTTCCTGCACAAATTCTGGTTTTTCAGCACCATCTACTACTTTGGGAACTGGGCTTTCATTGGGGTAAGTGTGTTGATCTGTCAGTCTGGAAATCCATCAGTCTCCTCTTTTTGTAACACTGGTATGCTTAAGATGACAGTTACTATTAGGTATACTGTTATTTGGAAACATTTACTCTCCAGAGTCCCAGTCTGTGTATTTTTACTCAGAAGCACCCCCTCGCCCCAGTCTACGTATTTTACTCAGAAGTACCCTCTAGCCCAGTCTACCTACTTTACTCAGGAGTACCCTCTAGCCCCAGTCTACCTACTTTACTCAGGAGTACCCTCTAGCCCCAGTCTACCTACTTTACTCAGGAGTACCCTCTAGCCC